TATTGTCTAGCTTAAGGTAGCAATGCCCTAAGAAATATCCTCCTTTTACAGAGGCCATGAATCAAGCGAGCACTCTGATTTTCTGCATTATTTTATGGTAGTAAGTGTAGCTCAGTGATAAAAGTTTAAATTGTTTACAAATACATTTTGATAATATTCACTGAACATACTCTGATCATCTGACGCGCCCACTTCAGTTCAGATGGTAGCCTATATAAAGAATGACACGACTTCAATAATTATAGAAAGTGTGTCGTGGTTTTTGAGGTACAAATGAGGTTTTCCACTGTCTGCATGGTCACATCACCATGGCAGCATCTGTGATGCTAACGAGACTGGTGTCCTGGAGAGGGTCCACTAAAGGGACTGTGTCTGTGACAGTCTTGTTAGTCAGACATCAAACTGTAGAAGACATAAAAGTAAGTTGGAGGAAAGAATTGTACAAAAGTAGGTCTCGCTTACTTAAGTTACAAAAGTGTGGAAGTTACTGTCTAGACGATGGCGAGATAATGCTGAGGAGAGAAAACTGTCACCACCAGATAGATCCAAACCACTATGTGTTATAGATAAGAAATCAAATCAGCAGTCCTCTTGCATATTTAAGCCTTTTAAAGTTTAAAGCTCAAAGCACTTTCTTGTGCTGTCCTGTGTTCTTTTCAGGAGTTCGCAGCTGCCATGTAGCTGACTGAGTTTGCTTTGTCAAGCGCATTGTGAAGTGTCGAATCAAAGAACTGCTTTGTTTTATTGCATATCTGTCCCTCCAGAGGTGGAACGAGCAGAAGGAGAGTTAAAAGAAAGAACCTGAGACCCACATAGTACAGTGATAGAGCTAACTTAGACATCCTGCCATGAAGGCTGCAAGATAGAAAGAGGGGATAAGGGATCAATGTGGATGAGAAAGCAAAAGAAAGAGAAAGCAGTAAACTGAGAGATGTGTTGGAGTTACGCAGGACGAATGGATAGTGGACAAACTGAAGGACGTGGTAAATTTGGTCAAATACCACCAAGACGACTTCTTCACTAAGCCAACAAAAAAATGGCAAAATAGCACAAAGAGCAGACCAGTGATGGCTAACATTACTTTTAAAAATAACATTTTACATTAGAATATTAATGTACTTTAAAAAGAAACAATTTTGCTTCAGTGCTACTGAGAAAAATAATATTTTAAGTTAATTTTGTATTACCTTTATTAAACATTACTTTGCAGTTACTTGCTTGGAAAAAAAGCTTCTGGACTTCTTTAAGTTTCTTGAAGACGTTTCATCTGAGAAGCTTCTTCAGTTCTAAGAGCAATTGGTGGAGAGTCCCAGATTTTAAGCCCTATGGGAGTGTCCCCCCAAGACGGTCATGGACCCCCTATTGATCCTCTACCTAATCACATGAGTCAAGGTGTGAACCACAGTGAGCGCCCCCCCATCATGTAATTTCCTGAGGTCAGATGGCCCAGGATGTGAGTGGGCGTTAAGGCGTCTGAGAAGGGAATTCAAAACTGGATTATAGATGGCAGACAGTGGGTGACATAAACCACCGCCTCTGTTCAAAGATGGTCATTCACACTGGACATAGATGGCTTCTTTCACTCCTCTTTCAAACCGTCTGTCTTCTCTGTCCAAGATGAGAACATTGGCATCCTCGAAAGAGTGTCCTTTGTCACCAAATGCTCTTAGAACTGAAGAAGCTCCTCGGATGAGAGGTGAAACGTCTTCAACGTCTTATATTGGGCAGTGTGTTGCCCACTGTCCATCTCTCCATGAGTGTAATTATTTATATGAATAGTGGAATCATTGAGTCTTAATGTTGTAAAAAGTAATGTTAAGTCTGTGGCTGTATTGCCATTCCAACCATGTGCAGTGGTTTAGTACACAGTGAAGTGAGACAACGTTCCTCTAAGACCATGGTGCTACATATGACATATAACATCAACACAGGGTTACATAAATGTGCAAAAATTACAAAAAAATAAAACAAAGACAGTGCAACACCAGACAGAACAGAACGATACACACACCCGACAGTGCAGACACACTGGAAGTAAGTCAGTAATGTTGCCTACTGAGAAAAGTAACTCCAAGTACTTCTATGTTACTGAAAACACCTCTTTGCCATTAGCTTGAGTACACTGACTACATTGTCCAGGAGTTGCTTACCCTAGAGTACATTTATTTCTGAGTGTATGGATTTTATTTCATTGCATGCCAACAACAAGCTTATTAATTTCCCCTGGAGTAACAATCTGAACTAAAAGCTAGCCAGGGATTTTCTTTTGTCTCACAAAGAAAACCACAAAGGAAAATGTACACACTCACCTGTTAGTAAATGTAAAATCCTTTACAGTACTGTAAACACTGTACTAAGGTGATGGGCAGCTGATTGTGTGTTCAGCTTATTACCTTATTAATGATGAGAGATGAATTATTGTAATTGCAAATGCCTGAATTACACTAAATACAGGAACAAATTGTCTATGTCGCCTCAGTGTATAATTTGAATATATTGTTTAGACATCAGTGCTTTCAGTGGGTAACACAGTGGGCTCATGTCATCAAGGTTTTGCGTACAAATCTCCTCTTTGCATTGGAGTCACTGTCGAGTTTGAATCTTCTCCCTGTGCGCATTTCCTCCCACAGACCCGAGATCTGGTCTGGTGGTTTTTAAATTAGCCGTAGGTGTAGCTGTGAGTTGTGGTCTATCTGTATTAGTCCTGTGATGGACAGTCCAACTGTACAGGGTGTACCCCACCTCTCATTCATGACAGCTAGGATGCTCTCCTGCTCCCCCCAGGACCAAGAGTTGGATATTGTACCTCAGATCCATGATTTCCTTGTTTTTTTTCCCATCCATGTCTTTTCTCAGCAGTGTGCATACACGGAGCAACATCCCTGTTTTTCTATTACTTCCCTCCATATGCACCATTATATAACACATTTGTCATGTTTGCAGCTATGGGACTGTGTTAGTGTATCGCATCTGAATAACTCATAATTTCTGGGTTCGTAATATTGTGCAGTATTCCCAGCCTCACACTTTCTTCTTCAGACACTCTCAATCAAACACAATAGTACAAATGGTTTAACATGCCAGAATTAAATCCCCCATTCAAGTGGCGGCATTTGACCAGCTGTGCCACTTAACTTCAATTTTTAATATGAAATGATGTAAAAATGCTTTGTGCTGTCAGTTTAGTGCAATGTTGTTTATTTCTTTATAGCAGAATCCTAAGGAAACATTCCACAGATGATTTTTTTCTCTTTTTCTGCAGACATCGCTATTTTTTCTTTTTCTTCTTCTTTTTTAAGCTCACGTTTGTAAATCTCCATACAAGGATGGAGCTTTTCTGAGAACAGCAGCTGACTTTTAGGAGTAATTTGGACTTTTGAGAGTTAACAAACATGATTCAGCTCTGAAACTTTCTCTTTCATTTTACATGATGTAAAACTGCAAGTTCTAACTCTCAATGGCAGTGAATGACTGTCAAGGTTGGGTTGACCTTTTCACCCAAGAATCTGGCTGTTCCTGTCCATCGGCTGCGCCATCAGTTGCAAAGCCAACAAACTGTGCGCATATCGTTTCTGCAGAAATGATGCGCTGGTGCATAACTCCAAATCGCAGTTTCACACATTGCAGAAAAACATGGAACGATGTATGCATTTATACATGTGGCACAGTAACCGCACCAACACACCAACAACTCGGAACCTTACAGTAAATAATGCCAATGTTCTTCCACATACATTATGTTGGCGTCTAAAACTAGATGTCAGGTTTACATGGAGGAATAGTTTATAACAATTTAAATTTCTAACACCCCTGAATCATAAACATACTACATACCGATTCTTTTTTTGGCCTCCTCTGATTTATCTGAACTGTCACACTATTTTCAAAGAGAAAAAAATGTGTAAAACTCAGTCTAGGCTGATACCTGATGTGTGGCTCCTGAAAGCTTCGCTCTACACATCTGATGGAGATGACAACAGATTATCAGTTATTTACTGTCTTATTGCAAAAAGATTGCATGTGTGTGACAACTTGATCTATTTCAATCAAGAACTGATAGTAGACACACTCGATCTTATTGCCGTTCTGTTGCTGCCTCAGCACAGCTGGTTTGAACACAGCAGCTGACTGCAAGTGGTTTCAGACCTGATCGCGCTTCCCAAAGCAGGGAGATCACATGGTAGCAATAATTTCGGTCATGCCTCAGTATTCGACCACTCTTCAAACTAGTGTGACTGTACCCTAGGTTATAAATGCACAGAAGATAAACTAGTGATTAAATAAAAAAATAAAGTTATTAGAATTTCTGCCTTTTACCTATAATATTCACTTAAAGTCAATTCAGGCTTTTTATAATGTGAAGTAAAGGCCTCAAAATACTACGATCTCCTATGATCCCTGCACATGCTGCAGGGGTATATAAACATGTTGGGAGGGAGGAGAGGTGAGTGGAGAAGAAGTGCTCAGTGTATGACATGAAATCCTGCAGGAGTCCACAGCAGCATAACTAAGGGATAACCCCGAGACCCTGAATCATCTTAGTTATGCATACAATCACAATGCAGCAATCCATCTTGCCTTATTTTTTTTTTATCTTTTTTGCCTTGTTGCAACATAAAATATTCAGAAATCAAGGGTATCTGTGACACAGTTCATTGTTGCTTGAAGAGCTGTGGCACAACCAGATGCCTTTGTGCTCTTGAATTCATCAAGATAGCAGCAACCTCCCTCTGTTCTCCACACTGCACAATACACCTCAGTCAGGAAAGAACTGTGTTGTGAAAGGTGGGAGAAGACGGAAACAGCATAAATTGACTCTTTCACGATCAGCCCCCACAATCGAGGCAGAAGACACTCCTCGTCTAAAAAAATCTAAATATATTATGATTAGAAAGGAGCAGATTCAGTCTGCGCAAACTTTAACATCATGTGTTAAAATGCATGTGAAGGATTCGTCAATATGTTGCATTTATTTTGCTTTTTCTCTTCTGTTTCCCCAGTGCTGCAAACGGCCATCCCAGTCTCGCCAGGGAAACGTCTGCGAGTCCAGCTTTTCACACTGCAGCATCACGACTACGCCACCCAGAAGCTCCAGAGGCACAGTAAAACATCACAGGTATGACATTTAATTGCACATGCAGAGACGTCCAGGCTTTATGTTGTACTCCCCCTCTGTTCACTGCAGGAAACGGTAATAATGCAGAATATAGCAACAATGGGCAACTTCAATGTCCTTTCCTGTAATCAGCATAGACTCAGTGAAGAGAGAAATTGAATTATCCACATTACAGTGCAGACAAAGCTAATTGCTGATTTATAGAAGAATGATAGTAATTATAATTATAGCTATAAACACATTAATAAGCATATCCATAACAGTCATGAACACAGAGGAGATGAGACAGAGATAAAATCAGAAGAACACGAGCCAGCGCAGACGTGTATATCCCAGTCGGTCTTTCCTCACAGCGTTCAGCGGTGTGTCAGAGCTGCCTGGGATTTTGGCATGTTCGTCAGCAGGAATACACTCAAACACGCACACAGGAGTGTCTGCTTCTGAGAGTTCACATTCAAATCCTTGCCAAAGCTGTTTTTTTCTGTTACAGTACACACGAGCAAACACATTCACAGCACTTTGCAGGGAGCTCCCGCAGATTGAGTTTATACATTAGACCATTTGCCGGTATTTTGATTTCACAGTTCAAGGGAATTTCGGTAAACGAAGCACTGATTTAATAGCAGATTTCATGTCAGCATGTGTGTGAAAAAGACTTTCAATTTATCATTAAATCTAAACTCAACCCCTTTTAAACACTGACCCAGTTGGAAATCGTCAAACGTCATGTGTAATGCTTTTATTTTTGGCCTTCTCTTCACTATGGCAGTTCAGTTAAAGGCATCCGCCTGTCAGTGCACACATGGATTTCTACCTGTTACTGCTAAGCAACTCCAGGAGCAGCTGGGGGTTAATCTACTTTCTTCAAGTGGATTCAAGCAGTAGTTGAGATGAGATTTTCCCAGACAAACCAGAAATAGGATCAGACAACCTTCCAACCACAAATTCCACCTGTCTAACCTTTTGGCTAAACTCCTGCAAGACTTTCCTCCCTCCTTTTTCTCTATATGTGGTTGTTCTCTGTGAAGAAAAACATTACTTGGTTCCTCTTACCACAAATGATTTTATTAGAAACCAATCAGGGTTTGTTTTTTGCAACCTCATCAGCTCAGGGAGAGAGTTAGAGGCTATTGTCGGGATCCCAGAGTGTTCTGGGACACCACAGTCTAAAATAGCCGGGAAAAAAACAGCCCAAGACTAATTCAGTGTTGCAGGATTTATCTCACATAAAAGCCTTTATAGAAAACTCTGCCAGCACTATTAAAAGTCTGACTGTAAGCTCCCAGTTGTTACAGCCAAGAAGCCCATTTTTAGAGGAAAATCTAGCCTTTAAAACTGCAGCGTTTTATGAATGAAAGCTTGAAATGGTGTTTGGACAAAAAAAAGAAAAAACTTTAAAGCTAAACTCAAAATACAAGAGCAGCATGAAGAGGGAATTTGCTTCTTGAGTAAAGCAAGTTTCTTCAAAGGTGTTTTTTTCCTCCTTTTTTCTTCTGATGAAACTCCGAGCACATATCCTTTTTCTGCTACATGACCTTCTGTAGTAATAATTTTGGGGACCCTGGAACTTCAGCACAGGGAGCTTTTTTATCAATTTTTAATTCTCACTTTTCACACTTTCATCACACAACTATAAAGATCGGCGTTTTGGTAGTGATCAACAGTGAATATTTAAAGGTTCAGCCAGCAAATGGGGGTGGAGCCACTGGTGTGGGATTTTTATAACATGACATAATCAGCATATACATGAAGTTAAAGATGATGAATGTGCTCAGAAAGAATGTTAGAAGCAAGAGAACGTGTCCTGGCTTTTTCACTTATGAGGTGAACAAGAGAGAGCAAGAAACATAGAAAGGTGTTTCTGGGCCAGAAGAGCAAGAGCTTGCTGCAAAGCAATACTGTACATGGATGTTCTGCTAGGACCAATGGATGAACTCGCTGCTAGTAAGCTGAAGTAGGCAAGTTTTAAGTTAAACTTTTCCCAAGTTCAAGACAAGTACTTAAAGCAATGGCAAATGAGAGTTGACTGACATATGAGCAGCTAGTAAATAAATAAACTCTAGGGTTACCAATTTAGCAACTAGAGCTGGAAATGAGCATTAGCAACACGCCAGCTGAAAGAAGCAAATTTAAAATGAGCCGTGATCAAAACAGAGCTGTAAGAATCAATGTGCACAGCTAGCATAACATTACAGAGTTACATGCCAGCACACATAACTGCAAAAATCTAATTAAACAGCACAAATACTCTTTTTAAATTAATTTAACTTCTTTTATCTTCCTCAGAAGCAGTTCCCTGTCTCACAGCCCTGACCAGAGAATGCGGGCAGCCCATTGGTCAGCTCCTCGCCGGACTCCACCCATACCCAAAGGAAGATTAAACCCAATTGGAGTTTCCAAGTATTCTGGCCCCGCCTACCAGCACCTTCAGGAAGTGGACTCATCTGAGAAGGAAGCAGAAGCACAAAGAGGGTAAGAATTTACTGAAGGTAGATACCTGCAAATTAAAAATGTTAATCCACATAAAAGAATAAATATATATATACACTACCAGTCAAACGTTTGAACACACCTTCACATTTAATGGTTTTTCTTTAATTTTATTACTAAAAGTTGGAGGTACCTACTGAAGACATCAAATATATGCAAGATATATGGAGTTATGTAGCAAAGAAAAAAATGATAACTCCATATATGTTTTATAATTTATATTCTTCAAAGTAGCACTGGCCAGCCTTGGCCTTCTCTCAGTGAGCTTCATGATGATGTCGCCTGAAATCGTTTCACATCACAGGTGTGCCTTGTCAGGGTTCATTTGTGGAAATTATTGCCTTCTTAATGGGGTTGGGACCAGCAGTTGTGTTGTCACAAATCAGGTTGGTACACAGCTGACAGCCCTATTTGACAACTGTTATGGCAAGAGCCAATCAGCTAAGTAAAGAGAAACGACAGCAGTCCATCATTACTATAAGAACTGAACTAAACTACAGTAAATTCCCCAAGTGCAGTCACAAAAACCATCAAGCGCTATGACAAAACTGGCTCACACGAGGACGCCCCAGGAAAGGAAGACCAAGAGTCACCTCTGCTGCTGAAGATAAATTAATCCGAGTCACCAGCGTCAGAAATTACAGATAATGCCAAACAGAGATCCAGACACATCTCTACATCAACTGTTCAGAGGAAACTGCACAAATACAGCTTTATGGTCAGATAGCTGCAGGAAACCACTACTAAGGAAAAGCAACAAACAGAAGAGATTAGTCTGGGCCAAGAAACAGAAAGAATGGACATTAAACCAGTGGAAATCTGTGCTTTGGTCTGATGAGTCCAAATTTGAGATCTCTGATTCCACCCGCCATGTCTTTTCGCAGTGCAGAAAAGGTGAAGGGATAGTCTCTGCATGCATGGTTCCTACCGTGAAGCATGGAGGGGGAGGTGTGATCTGGTGGGGATGCTTTGCTGGTGACACTCTTGGGGATTTATTCAAAACTTGAAGACGCACTGAACCAGCATGGCTACCACAGCATCCTGCAGCAACATGCCATCCCATCCTGCTTAGTTGGACCATCGTTTATTTTTCAACAGGACAATGAAGGAGAGTGATGGAGTACTACACCAGAAGGCCTGGCCTGCACAGTCACCTGACCTAAACCCAGTGGAGATGGTTTGGGATGAGCAGAGTGAAGGCAAAAGGGCCAAGTGCTCAGCATCTCTGGAAAATCCTTGAAGCTCATCGAGAGAATGCCAAGAGTGTGCAAAGCAGTAATCAAAGCAAAGCGTGGCTTTTTTGAAGAATCTAAAATATAAAAGATGTTTTGAGTTAAACTGTGTTTAGTTTTCTCCAGACGATGCACAGTGCATTATGGCCAGACATTTCCACTTTAGTCCCATCTTTCCAAAGGACATTGTTCCACGAGTCTTGCGGTTAGTTCAGACACACATGTGCTGCTGTGTTCTTTAGAGAGAGGTTTCTCCTGTCAGCCCTTTAAAACAAGCATGTTCACTTGTCTTCTAATTGTACCGTCATGAACTGAGGCCTGTAGAGTATGACAGGTTTTAGGTGTAAGGATTGCTTCAAGATCGAGGATGGCTGGAGATTTTATTGACACCTCATTCTTGGGTTTGTTTGGAGGTTTTTTTTAGATTTCTTTCATTCTGTATCTTCCAAATGCTGAGTCATTTCAATAAAAAAATCATTAACTGAAAACTGCAGCCGTGCTACAGACAGACAGTTTTCAAGAGCGAATATTTCAAAGTCAATTCTGTTTTTATATTTTTAAAAGCCAGCATTTTCTTTCCTTTTTTGTACTTTTCTCCCCTTCATCCATTTTGTTTCCACTCTGCTGAGAAAAGATAAAAACGAGATCACATTATGTCGTGGTCTGCAGCACTGTGGCACAAGTTCAAGGGAAACATTTCACCTGGTCCGTGCTTTTAAGGACTAGATTCAGACTGGACATCTGCATCTTGTCGTACTCTGTCAGGTAAATCACAGATTTCAAATGTAACCCTCCAGTGTTACATGTCTCAGATGAAACTGTATGTGCTTAGCAGCCAGAGCGAATGATTAGCAGAAATGTATTCGGTGTGAAAGGTGCTGTGCTCTGACCCATTTTTTTTGAGGGGGGAATCATGAGTCACTGCTTTACCCACCTGGACTGGCAAGCTTCACTTCAGGCATTCAGGTCCCAACAGTCCCAGCTCAGGATTAATCTCTGCATGACCTACATGCATACTAAAATAAAGAGGCAGAGGAGATGGACACAGCTGGACAAAAAGCTCTCACTCATATAACAGCGTATAAAAATTCAGTGATGTGCATTGGAGGTGAGCTCCCCCTGCTCCTGAAGCTTTATTTACACATCATTTGCATGAACATCGCTAAAGAGCGACTGTTGAGCTGCATAAGTGTGTCCTTAATCAAATGTCCCATTCAAATGGCTCTCGGGTCAACTCAAGTGTTTCCTGCAAATCCTAAAGTCCACCACCAGAAATGAAAATGTCAAACACGAATTTAACGGAATCAGTTACTTTTTTGTTAAATTAATGTAAATAATCATAGTTATTCTTATAGAATTCAGTTGTTTAATTGAAGGAATGCAGCAAACCCACCGTAATAACCACCAGAACTATTTCAGCTAGCTGTGGATTGATATACTGATGGCTAAAACAAGACAACTGACCCAGTTTGGTTAGGCTATGAAGTCTTCATTTTACAACCAGTTTTCCTTTATTGTGTTCAACATTTTCCGAACTTACAAGATGACTTTAAACAAATTGTACAGATCTGCTACATAACCAGAAACTTGTAACAGGATATTTTACAGAGAATTCAGCTTTATAAACAATATGCAAGGACCAAGATTTATAGTCCAGGTCTTAATAACCGAACACGTTTGAAGAGACTGTTGATGCATGCTAGAGAGCCATTGCATTTGCTGAAGTGCAATCTTAAACCGTTTTTATTACCGTTTTTTAAAATTATCTACATTCTTCAACAACAACAGATAACACAGTAAGAGCTCTCAGCCTGGATATGGCTGTACTGGAATCCCCTTTAAAATTAACCATTACGTGCTCAGTCAGCAGATTAATCAGTGGCGTCCTAGATTTAAAGTGAAGTAACTGTCTGGTCAGAACAAAAGTGCCCACATGAGCTCAAGTGTTCTCTGATCACAAACCAATCAGCTCATATGTTAGCCCAAGGCTTCTGTGGTAGCTCTGGTAAGCCTGGTAAGGACTCTCTGATTGGGCCAAATAATTCCTCTTTTTAGCCCAAGCAGTCTGTGAGAAACAAACCCTGGCAAACCAGACTTGGATTGGTCCAAATTTCATCAGCTTCAAGTTTATCTTGGTTATCAAAGGGCTCCCACTGGTTGTGATGTGCATTCTGCTGGATCAATTGAGTAAAGCATTAGTTTAGGCGGGCCAACATCAGAGTATGGGGCATAATATTTGAATGGGGAAGGAGGACCAGAAGAGGATGCTAGGGGATAAGGTGAGATAGAGCCAGAGGAGCTGAAAGAAGAAGAATCCAAGTGCATTTGCTGCACATATAGAAGATGCTGTAGCTCTCCCTTTCATATATATGTTAGTGTGTACAATAGTACTGGCAGGTTAAAGACAAAGCCCACATAATGTCTGAATCCACTGATACCGGCCAATCTACATTTGCCATTTATGTGTCTCCTGCATGCTCTTTGCAGGCAGTTCATCACCTAAATCACACAAAGTACTTACTGTAGTGTCATGAGCAGTGTTGGTCAAGTTACTTGAAAAAAGTAATCAGTAACTAATTACTGATTACTTTCCCCCCAAAGTAATCCCATTACTTTACTGATTACTTATTTTCAAAAGTAATCGGTTACTTAGTTACTGAGTTACTTTTTAAAAACACGATTTACAACCTGAAGAGGTGATAAAGCGATAGATCTTTCAGCCCAATTCTACTTTTTCTGCATAATCCATCATACAA